GAGAGAAATAAAAGGAATAAAGATAGGCAATAAAGAAGTCAAATTGTTATTATTTGCAGATCACATGATACTCTATATAGAAGACCCAAAGAGCTCCACTAAAACTCTTCTAGACTTAATAACAAAATTCTGTAAAGTAGCTGGATACCAGGTCAACACATAAAAGTCAATAGCTTTCCTGTACATGAAAAACAGACTCACAGAGAAAGGAATGAGGCAGTTATTTTTACAATATATCCAAAAAACTGAAAGAACTAGGAATCAACCTAACAAAAGAAACCAAAGACTTCTACCCTGAAAATTATAGCACTCTGAAAATAGAGATCTAAGAGGATATCAGAAAATGGACAGACATCCCTTGCTCCTGGGTAGGAAGAACCAACATAGTGAAAATGTCCATACTTCCAAAACTGCTATATAGATTCAATACAATCTCAATTGAAATCCCAGTAGCATAGTTGACAGACCTTGAGAAAACAATCCAAAAATTCATTTGGAACAAGAAGATACCTAGAATAGTAAAAGCAATTCTATGCAATAAAGACAAGCCAGGGGGTATATCACAATCCCCAACTTGAAGTATATTACAAAGTTACTGTGATAAAAACAGTATGGAACTGGCAAAGAAACAGACCTGAGGACCAGTGGAACAGATTAAAAGATACAGAAACAAGTCCAGACACAACCACCTCATCTTGACAAAGGAACCAAACTCACTGGGGGAAACGTAGCCTCTTTAATAAATGGTGCTGGAAAAACTGGGTTTCAACTTGACAATAAAACTAGACCTATATCTCTCACCATGCACTAAACTAACATCGAAATGGTTTAAAGATCTAAATATTAAAAAAGAAACACTAATCCCAACAATGAATGTAACTGTACTGTATCCCTAAAATGTACCAATAAACTCATTTAAAGCTGAAAAAAAAAAAGAGAAAAAAAGAAACACTAAACCAGCTGGAAGAGAGGTTAGGTAGAACTCTTGAAGACATTGGTGTAGGAAAAGATTTTATGGGGCTGGGGATTTAGCTCAATGGTTCTGCTGCCTGCCTTGCAAGCACACGGACCTGAGTTCAATCCCTGGCACAAAAAAAAAAGAGAGAGAGAGAGATTTTATGAACAAAACCTCAGTTGCCCATGAACTAGCACAATCAACAAGTCGGATCTCTTATTTAAAAGTTTTCCAGCTGTTCCTCAGACAAAGGTCTACTATCTAGAATATATAAAGAATTTTAAAAAAATCAGACCTCCTAAATTTAAAGAACCAACCCAAAAATGGGCATCTGAAATAAAGACATTTCTCAGACATAGAAGTAGAAATTACAAATAAACATATGAAAAAATGTTCAACATCACTGGTCACTCAAGAGATGAAAATGAAAACAACGCTGATGAGATTCCACCTCAGCCCCTGGGATGAATGGCTGCTATCATGAAATCAACCAATAACAAATGCTGGAGGGTCTGTGGGGAAAGAGGAACTCTGCTCTGCTGCTGTGGACTGGTGCAACCACTGTGGAAATCAGTATGGAGATACCTCAGAGAACTAGGATTGAAGTCCAGTTTGACCCAGCTAGTCCCCTGCTGGGTATCTTCCCCAAAGAATTAAAAGAATCACACCACAGTGATATATGTGCACCCGTGTTCACCGTGGCACAGTTTGTAATAGCTAAAACTTGGAAGCAGCCCAATCACCCATCAATGGGAGACTGGATAAAGAAAATGTGTTTTCCTAAAATGGAGTACTACTCAGCCATAAAAAAATGAGGAATTAGAGACATCTATAGCTAAATGGATGTACATTGAGGCGATACTCTCAAGTAATCTAAATAGGACACACATGTTTAAATACTGAATACTTTCTCTAGTGTGAGAAACTGAAAGTGTAAATAAGTACTAAAAAGCATAATAGATAATGTGAAATAGGACGAAAAGGTGCAAAGGGGAAGGGAAGTGGGAGGGTTAGGAGAAAGGAAAGAAGGGAATGGAATTAATATGAGAAAATGAAAAAATGGAAACAAAGTCTTTCTAGATAAAGAGTGATGGAGGGGTTGAAGGGAGGAAGGGCAGGGGAATGGGGAAAAAATAAGAACCAAGATGGATTATGTAAAGGTGCAAATTTCCATTGATGAATGTCATTATATTGTGTACCTTAAATGTATCAATAAGATTAACTTTTTTAAAAGGCTCTCCTGTTGAATGAAAATATTTCTGACCAGAGTCTAGCTTTAGATATTTTTTTCCAATTTTTGCCCCAATATGCCTTCTCCTGGGCTTGCTTCCATCTTGGCATGAGAGCCTATATCTAAGAGACTGCCAGCAGGCTTTCCTACAGGGTGACCAAACTCTCAGTAAATAGACATTATTCTCCATGAAAAGCCGGGAAGCACCTGTGTCTCTTCAACTTATCCCACCTGGCTCTCCTGGCATCTGTTCCAAGGAGATATTAGAAACATCCTTAGGGCCGGGGATTTAGCTCAGTGGTTCTGCTGCCTGCCTCGCAAGCACAAGGTCCTGAGTTTGATACCCAGTACCCCCCCC